TTAGGGTTTAGGGTTTGGGGTAGATTATACTATAATTCTAATTGTCATAAGGAACCCCCAAAAACCCTATTCTACTTATTAAGGCCCCTACAATACCCTAAACTCCAAAACTGTGATTTCTCGTCCACAAGGCCAAAACCCAATCCTTGAGCCGTAAGGCTGAGGTGTTGAAATTTCAATTTCCGTACTACAGGATTAGGGTTTAGGGTTTAGGGTTTAGGGTTCAGCGGCTTGACTAGGACTCTATTGTACGTAGCCTGTGTACACAGACCTCGAACCCTCCCTGTGAGCTGTCATGTTCGGTCTGACAGGTGGAGTTTAAGCCTACGAAGGACGCCGGGGAGTTTGGGCAAAGGGTCACATACAGTTTGAAACTGTCAGTTGCAGGATTGCAGCGCTAAGAAGGGAGTCAATTTCCCGAGTGTCGGCATAGTTACCGTATTTGGAATGTGGTTTGTGCATCCTACCGAAGTCCGTAACTCTTCACCTTGAAATCTGGAGGGTTTAGATTTCACCCTAAACCCTAAACCCTAAACGGTTTAGGGTTTAGGGTTTAGGGTTTCAGATCCAGCTCCAGCAGCCAATGGTTCAATGACGCCGTACCTTGCATTGAAGCCCTCAGCCCGCAGACCCCATGCCCGGTTGGAGGTTCACGGGTGGTTTAAATGTGGGGTGCTAGGTAGGAGAACTATAGCAGTAACCCATACTCGGGGCGGTATAACCCCACTTATAACTCATAACTTATGACTTATAGCATATAACTTATAACTTATAACTATCCATGAACCTCAAAGTGGATCTCCCCCTAGCCCTTGACCCAGAGCTGGGAGCACACGATCCTAAATCCTACCACTACACCTGGGTTCAGGGTTTAGGGTTTAGGGTGACATCCAATACTGGTGTGTCTCCTGGGCTGAACCGCAAAATGCTGGCTCTGGATGAGGGGAAGGTCGATTTGAAGACTGCGTGGCCTTTTTTGGTTTGATGAACAGGTCTCAAGTTCCCCTTAGGGTTCAGGGGTTAGGGGTTTAGGCTCTCAACCCTGAGCCCTAAGCTCCGAACCCTATCCTTAGTTCCCCAATACCCAACCTTTATAAACTTGTTGGGTGCATTTACATTAGTAATAATCTGAAGGTTTAATTAACCTTTATTTTCCGTGGCTTATTGGGGAGGTAAGTATCCTGAAGCCCTCAACCCTGAACACAAGCCCAAAATACCCTGAAGCCGTCTACTCTCCACTTGAAGTGAATGCCCGAGAGACTCAAGGCTTCAGCCAGGGGTCCATGTGCCCAAGTAGTAGATACTTTGGCCCCAAAGTACCTAGACAGGGACTACTTTGAGGCCGAAGCTTAGGGTTTAGGATTTAGGGTTTTAGGGTTTAGGGTTTAGGGGTTTAGGGTTCTATTTGGGCACATGGACCCCTCGGTTAAAGCTCTATTGAGTCATGTGAACCCTGGTCAACTGCGACCCCCCGAAACCATCTCGTGATCTGCGGATCCGAGAGCAGCGCCGCGTGGAAGGTGTGTTCCATTATTATTATTATTATTATTATTATTATTTTTATCATTATTATTATTATTGTTATTATTATTATTATTATCATTATCATTATTATTATTATTATGGTTTAGGGTTTATTGTGTTGTTCTATCGCTATGTATGATTCTGTTCCTACTCTTACTATGGCTAGTGTATCCGTTATTGTGTTCTTCTATCGTTATTTACGATACTGTTCCCATTCTTACTATGGCTGGCGTATCCGTTCGGTTTTTGCCACGCAGTCTCCAGACCCGCTGTCAGAAGCTCGCCGGCCCTGTGCTGCGCACGAACGAAGCCAGCTTGGCTGCCTGGCCTTTCAACTCCAAACCGTGCAACCCCAAATCCTAAACCCGAAAGCCTAGACCGTAAACCCTAAACCCT